AATACATAAATTAAAAGGTAACAGATAATACAAATTATACTTCTTGTACGAAGCTCGTCAGTATAACAACTCATATATCAACTATGCATAACTTAACGCTAGGCTTATGCAGTTCACCACTTTTTTTCAGATATGTCATGCTTAACTTTTTAAAAAAACTAGCAAAATCTGTCTAATATTTGCTTTGTGGTTATTTAAAATTTGGTCTGACCGGCAAGCCATGTAAAATTAGCGTGGCATTCAACGTGTTAAAATAAGAAGCATATTCTAGCATTAACCTTAATTTACTGCCTCTACTAAAATTTTTCCAAGAACAGCGGGAAACCTGGATTCTAATAGTCAAAGATAGAGTTAAAGTTTGCAGCATTACAGTTCAACGGTTTGTCAAACTAGAATCAAGTTAACATGTCTTATGCACTAGGGAATTGGTATTTAATATTTGTAGTGGTAGTAGTGCCACATTATTTATAAATTATGAAGAGTGTTATAAACTTCCAGGAGGACTGAAAAGTCCCATTCTCCTTTTATATTTTGAAAGTGATACGTTGTATGATTTTTTTAAATGTGAAAAAAAAAACTGAACTTTTTGAAGCTATACTTCTTATGCGACTTCCAACAAGGTTGCGTTAAACGTTTAACGATACAATTTTGTTGGCCGGGAAATCACGAGGTAGGATCCAGTTTTCCCTCATTCATTTCCATATTGTTTTGGTTCTCACTAGCATAAAAATAATAAAAGTATTGTTTTTCTATAAATATTTTTTTAGTTTGTTTTGATACACATATAATTTAATAGGGTAGTATTTTTTATTTTCAAATTTAGTGGATAACAATTGTAAAAAATGAGTGAAAACAATCCCACGGACAATGCGACGGATTTAAGGTTATGTCAAGGTACGTCTCTTGTGAATATCAATTGATTGTTAGGTTTTCTCTTCTGAAATTACATTATGACGCATTCACATACATTATTAATACAAATACATTTTCCAGGGCGAGACGATGAGGCAACCACAAGCACTTCCACTGGTTCAAGAGGTCCACGAGGGAAAAATGCACAATATTACCGTGATTACAGAGCACGGAAGCGAGCGGAGCAGGAAAAAGAGTCGTTGAATAGTATTAGTGATCCTTCTACGACTGCTGATTCTTCTACAATTAACGTCGCAGGTTGCGAAGTTTAACTTCCTCCGCGCGGAAGGACTCCACTCACTATTTTTTTAAAAAATCTTTTTAGTCCTCTTGCAAAACGTAGCTTTTGAAATTTCTGACGTATTCATTTCTAGAATTTAGCTACTTTAGATTCATGCTTGAAAAACGTGTCTTTCGAACTTTCTGACGTATTCATTACTGGAATTTAGCTACGTCTTTAGATTCATGCTTGAAAAATGTAGCTGTTGAACTTTCTGGCGCATTTATTACAAGAATTTAGCTACTTCTTTAGATCCATGCTTGAAAGACGTGTCTTTTGAACTTTCTGACTTATTCATTTCTAGAATTTAGCTACTTCTTTAGATTCATGTTTGCAAGACGTAGCTTTTGAAATTTTTGGCGTATTCATTACTAGAATTTAGCTACTTCTTTAGATTCATGCTTGAAAGACGTAACTTTTGAAATTTTTGGCGTATTCATTACTGGAATTTTGCTAATTCCTTAGATCCATGCCTGAAAAACGTGTCTTTTGAAATTTTTGGCGTATTCATTACTGGAATTTAGCTACTTCTTTAGATTTATGCTTGCAAAACGTAGCTTTTGAACTTTCTGGCGCATTTATTACTAGAATTTAGCTACTTCTTTAGATTCATGTTTGCAAGACGTAGCTTTTGAACTTTCTGGCGTATTCATTACTGGAATTTAGCCACTTCTTTAGATCCATGCCTGAAAAACACGTGACCGAAAAACCAACTATTGTTTTATCTTTTTAGTCTCCTTGTAAAAAGTAGCTTTCTGACACATCGAATTTAGCTACTTCTTGTGGATTCATGCTTGAAAAAAAGAGCGATTCCTCGCTAACAAATAAGAGTGATTTTGTTTTACAAAAATTTGATTGGCAGAAATAGCTCAAACGATTTCCAAACTGTTTGGGCTACAAGCTGATCTATGTTTTCGAATCTTTTATTCTTGAAATCACTTCAAGTCCCAGTTTGGGGAACAAATGTCTTGAAAATCGAAATGATTAAAGCGGGGGAGGGGAGGGGGTCTATCGATGCATGAGCATCGACAAGTCAAGAGGAGAAGACAATTTCTCGGCGCATCGATCCTTTTTAGCCTCGTTAGTGGATTTGTCTGAAGCATCTCTCTCTCTCTATCCATTAGTTACGCGTTTCATTCCCCCCCTCCACCCTCTTCTACATAATTGTGCATCGCATTTCCGCAACCCCCGTAATTATTTCACTTAACTTTCGCCTTTCCTCATTTACATCTCTTTGATCTTTTGAAGTGAAAAAGAAAAATTCTTCCTCCCAATGAGGAATTAACTCCACAAACAACGCTGGAGATTTCGCTCCTTATAAGGAAGAAGAAAAAAAGAGAAGACGTGCTCAGAATGAGAAAAGGGCCGATAGAGCAACAAGTTAGAAAAGCCTTCATCATCACTTGGTGGATTTGTTATAGCATCTCCTTCCAATTATGAACGTAAATTAAAACAATCGTTTCGATTGTTGTCTATTTTAGAAATGCGCGCACAAAGTAATAAAGATTTTATTTCCTCCTTTTGTACTAGGTGAAGATCGATTAAAAATCACTGCTTTTTGGAATCTTCAGCGCAACATGAGGTTGTTTAAAAACTGGATGGTTCAAATATTTAAAGAAAATTCTTAATGTTAGCATTTTATGCTAGACTAGGGGGCTCACGCTCACCGACGATTGCTTTGCGATAATTGTTGTTTCTTGACAATTCAACCAAAATGCCACCACTTCCCACAACCAAACATTGGATACTATTTAAGATCTATTAGTGGACAAATTATTAGACTATCATTCTATGTAAAATTGTAATTCCCAAGTGATATACTATACAGATTTATTGTATACTAGACAGTATAACCGGTTTCAACTTGTTTATGGTAGTGTATCAATTGGTTAAATTAGACAATATATAATCAGGGTGCGTAGCGTTTTTAAAAAGTGCTTAAAGGTGATTATTTTCAACTTTCGTGTTTTAAAAGCCCTTTAAGGTGCTTTTTTCATTGGGTGTTTTTAAAAAGTACTTAATTTTCCCTTTTTCAAAATGAGATTTTTCCTTTACTATGTTGATTTTTGCTTCGGATTGTGCAAAAAGACACAGTTCACATTGTTCTATTCAACGTTTTCACAATTAATTCAACCAAAATCTATTTCGGCGTATAGTCAGTCCGTAGCGCATGAATACGTCATTCGTTTTATATTATTCAAAATTTCATGATTTTTGACAATTGTCAAAAACAATGCATAAAGGTTGCTGTTGTTTTTTGACATTACTGTTAAAACAAGATAGAACAACCTGATAGAACTTTCCAACCCTGCCTAATTATATTTTTTTAAAGTGCTTAAAAGTATTTTTTGAGGGCTTGAAAAGTGCTTAAAAGGTGCTTATTTTTGTTGAATAATTTGGCTACGCACCGTGATAATATAATTTCGACGATTGAATAAATTAGCCGATATTATATATAAATATAAAATATTTATTATATCAAGCATTATCTTCTATCATATATAATTCTCTTACGTGGCTCCCGAATTTTGGCTGTATTTCTTTTCCGCCGGTGGCAACGTTTGCTTTGTTTTGTTTACGTTTTGAAAACACCAAAACATTCTGCCTTTTAATGATGTGTTTCTGATCTAATATATATAATTCTCTTACGTGGCTCCCACATTTTGGCTGAAGTACTTTGTGTAGCTAAATAAGATTCTTTTTACAGCATTTAAATATTTACTTTATTTTCTTCATATATCAATCAGCAAAGAATTCTGTTAGGTTAAAAACATTTCGCTAAAAAAATAACGAATTCTAAAAGAAATAAAAATAAACAACTTAAAAAATAAAAATGTTGTTGCCAGCCATAGAATTTTTTGAAAGTTAACTTAACTTCTAAATCAAAATGATATAGAAGAGCAACTAGATCAAAATTATGATACCTGAGCGCTTGACGTAACAAATCCTTCAATTCTAAAAGTGTATCGCCAAATGTCCAAATTAACAAATGTGTTTTTTAAGAAATTCTATAAAAAGTTTTAAATAAACAACCTGCTTCTACAACTGCTTCTTGAAGAACTTGGCTCATTGATTTGCGAGCGCTAGCGAGCAGGGGGCGATGCCTCCTAGTATTAGTATATTATAATAATTAGATCAAATTATTGGAAGCACTGTAGTGTTTTAATAATGACATGATTTGCACGAGTTTATATGCAATACTTTTATATTTAAACATACATGTAATGGGTTTTAATTCAGGAGATTTTTTATATACTTCCTAATTGTATTTATTTTTAACGTATTGTACCACAATATTAACCCATTGATATAGGCGCGTAAACTAATGTAAACGTTGGTTTCATCCCAGAAAAAAGATACTGCTGTATAGTATCACCCAATAATTATAATTTTACATAGAACCTACCCGACTGTACTACCTGATGATCAAAAACGAGAGATCGCAACTGGTGCTGGAAAAATCGCATCTAATTTCACGGCAGAATTGATAGCCACGGCAATCGAAACGTACATCAATCCTGAACCTTCGGAGCAGCTTAGCGGTATCACCATCTTCAGCGACTGCAGGTCTGCCTTACAGGCACTCAGTAAAGGTACCTCAAGCCTAATCCTGAATATCATAGAACAACTTGGACAACTTCGTCTCCGGAAAAAAAGCTTCTTGCTGTGGATTCCCGCCCATGTGAACCTAGAGTTCAATGAAATAGCTGATTCCTTGGCTAAAAATGCCACAGATCTCAATCAAAATACAATCCCAACCACGTTGGCAGATGCAAATGCTTTTGCAGAGTCAAGACTATTCACCCCTTTAAAAATCAAAGCCCACGATCAAATAACTAATCTTGACATCGATAGGAAGACAGCCACTACTCTCATCAGACTAAGAACAAAACATCATAAAAACATGAACATTTCTACAGATAGGACTAGAAAATATCAAAACTGTGGCAATTGTCTTAATGTGGAATTGACACCATATCATGTTTTTAACTGCCCTGCAGTCGCTGCAGGCTTTCACCTCTTAAACTACACCACAGAAGAGGATTTGTATTCGTTTAATGCCATAGAAATAACAAAAACTATTCAAGCACACCATGAAATACGATTCAATAGAGGATACGACACCAACCAACCAACATAGAACCTTATTGCGCGTCTCATACGGGCAGGAACTGTATTTAAGGAAAATTGTTTATCTAAGCAAGCTTTCTCAGCAATCCCGATGATGACTTTGCAATAAATGTTGCTTCGTTGCATAAAACTGTTGAGTTGATTTAACTAAAAGGAGCACTTGTGCCAACACTTCCCACGACCCAATATTTCCCTTGTGATACTATTTAAGATCTGCAGTCCATGGTCACATTATTCGACGTACTATAAGATTCTATGCAAAATTATAATGATCAGGTGATACTATACAAGTGTGCTATTTTGACTCGAAGGAAACCGGTTTGAATTGGTTTACGCTCCGGTATCAATGGGTTAACATTGTAATGCAATACGGTAAAGATAAATACAAACAGGAATTACATAAATATATAAAAAAATCTCCTGAATAAAAACCCATTACATGTATGTTTAAATATAAAAATTAAGCGTTGCATATAAACTCGTGTAAATTATGATCTAATTATTATAATGAACTAATATAAGGATTGATATAATAAATATTCTATAGTTATATAATATATCGTCTAACGTCGTCGAATCTATATTATGTATCATCTCATTTAATCAGTTGATACAAGAGCGTAAACAAGTGCAAACCGGTTTCAGTCTCATAAAAATAATAAAGCTGTATAGTATCACCTGATAATTAAGATTTAACATAGAATCTTAGAGTGCATTTAATAATTTGGCTAGGGACTATATATTGGTAGAACAAAATTAGTGAGTTCACTACTGTAATTTAGTATTTTTGCTTAACAAATGGAAGGGTATATTTTAAGTACAATGTTCGTATTCATCACTTTGTGCATGAGGCTAAAAATTAAGTTCTAAATCATTTAACGAATTGCTTTAACCGCAATCTAATATATATATAATTCTCTTACGTGACTCCCAAATTTTGGCTGTATTTCTTTTCCGCCGGTGGCAACGTTTGCTTTGTTTTGTTTGAGTTACTATTTCTCTTACACGGCGACAAAAAAAGCCTCATTACAACTCCGCGTGTTGCGAATTCGAACTTTGAATCTTATATCAATATTGAACTATGACTCACAAGAAGAAGAAACAGGTTGTTTTAGACAAGAGCACATTTATTTACATGACGAGGACATTTTACATAGGAAGAAACATAGAATAACTATTTTTTAGCCATCGTTTTACTTTTTTAACTTATCGATTGTTTGTTCTATAATATTTTATATTATGTTGCCAATTTATTACAACTAAACTATTTCTTGCTTTCTTATGAAAGATTACTTATGCGAACCCGCAAAATCCTCCCCACCAACAAATAAATTTTAAACTTTTAATTAATTTTTTTTTTAGACAGGAATTTCTGATTATAAAGATATTTCTAACTCTTCATGTACTTATGTAAAAATGTTTTATAGTCCAGTTTATTTGGTATTTTAATCTTTCTTCTATAACGAGTAATATTCTCCCGTATTCCTTATGAGACAGGGACTGCTGATTTCGGTTTGTAAAAATCTGTTTCTTCAGGCGAAATTTCCAAGGGAAACAGCTTTGGTAAGGCTCTTATTTTTTCTCCACGGATTGTTTTCAATTTCGCAATTCTTGATATGCCATCTTTGCCGAGATATAACTTTAAGACAACTGCTAAAGGCCAATTTATTCTTTTGACATTATCATCGCCAATAAGCACTAAGTCTCCTTCTTTTAAATTGTTATTTGATTCTTTACTAAGTTGAGCCAAGTATTCTGTTTTGAACCGCTGTCATAAGTTTTCTCCGATATTTTGTAAATATTGATATCTATTGTTCAAGGTTGTGTTATCAATTTTGTCTAGATCAGTAACATCAGCACTTGTCAAGCTATTTAAAAACATAGCTAGCGTTTCTTAAAATTTCCTTAGTCATTCTTACCATCCGCTCCCAAAATCCTCCCCACCAAGCAGATGAAGGAGGTATGAACTTCCAATTGATCCTATGAATGGATGAAGAATCTTGAATTTCTTCCCAATTCAATTCTCTGAGTTTATTATTAGTTTCATGAAAATTCGTGCCATTATCTGTGTAAATGGTATAGACTCTTCCTCTGCGTGCTATAAATCTACGAAGTGCATTCAAAAAAGCATGCGTCGATAAATTCTGAACTAGTTCAAGGTGGAGACATCTATAAACTGCACAAGTAAAAAGAGCTATCCATGCTTACTCACCATTCTTGAGATATAATGGTCCAGCATAATCGATGCCCGTAATTTGGAATGCTGCTGAATTGATAATTCTATCTTTTGGTAAGGATGCGGGAGGAGTCTCCAAATGTTTGGCTTTAAATCTTAGACAGATAGTGCATTGTGATATTATTTTCTTCATGAGTCGTCTTGCTCCACAGATCCAATATTTTTCTCTAACTCTTGAGAGCATTATCTGTAAACCAGCATGCAAAGATGTTTTATGCATTTCGCGTAATAGACGATAAACAATGAAGTGATGGTTTGGCAATAACACTGGTGTTTTGAAATCAAGATCTTCTTCTCCCAATAACAATTTGGTCTTCACTCTTATTAGACCATTTTCATCTCGAAAAACTTGCATATTTTTTATTCTTTTGTCTTTTTCATTTGTGAAAGTTTCATTTTGAATTAGCTTTAAGGGAGAGATTTTCTGCTTCATTGTACTCTGTGCTGCTCAAAGTCACATCTAAAACTTTTTCTTTTCTTATGTTAGTTCGAGTATTTCGTATAAATCGCAAAATCCATTCCATCAATCTTACAATTTTGTGATACTTAGAGAAATATAGTCTTGTACTCAACACTTCAGGAATTGATACAACATGTGATGAAGTTGATGTTTCTTTCCTCTCGGTGATATTGTCAACAACGTTTAAGTCACTTTTAGGCCAACTTTCCTGGTCTTCTTTAAGCCAGTTAGGACAGCTCCACCATTTGTTCTTAAATAATGTTTTTGGACAACAGCCTCTAGATAGGAGATCAGCTGCGTTTAGCTCACTTGCAATGTAGTACCAATCTTCGATGCTACAATTTTTACGGATTTCCTCATATCGATTTTTGACGAAAACTGTCCAATTCTCTTTCTTTTTTATCCAAGTCAATGCAACCTGTGAATCAGTCCAGAAATATGTTAAACTTTTGATTCTCTAAAGCTTTAAGAACTGCTAAATACAAACGTGAGCCTAAGACTGCAGCCAAAAGTTCCAATCTAGGAATATTGACTTGCTTCATCGGTGCTATTCTGGCTTTTGCTATAGCTAATTGAACAACAACATTGTTTTCTTTTTCAGATCTGAGAAATACACATGCTGCATATGTTTTACTTGCATGACAGAAAACGTGAATAGTTATATTTGCTTTAAAAATATGCATGTGTCTTGAGATGCGACATTGCCGTAACCACTGAATATTTTCCAACCACTGAACAAATTTATTTGATATGTTTTCAGGAAGTTTATCATCACAACCACAATTTTTTTTCCATTCCTCTTTGTAAAAGTAACTTGGGAAGTAATTTAGCTGGACACAAAAATCCCAAAGGGTCGAAAATGTTTTGAGACACTGATAGCAGCATTCGTTTCGTTATTTTTTGGGTTGCTAGACTTACTGAGTTGACTTCACAAAATAATTCGTCTGTTTTTGTGTCCCACATCAACCCCAGAAATGGAACTATGGTGTCTTGAGTGTCCTGTAATTTCTTTTTTCTTGTAACATTTGTGACCCATCCTCTTAGATCGAATTTTCCTTTTGTCATCAAAAGAGAGGTTTCGTGAATAAATTTTTCGACATCCTTTTCTTTTTCAACACTGGTGATGCAATTGTCCACATGAAATGATTTTGCAAGCTCTTCGACCGTTTTCTGAAACTCTCCGGTTTGATTTTGTAAATGATGTTGAATCGTAGCATTGAGCAGAAATGGACTGCACGTGAGACCAAATACGACTCTTCTGTGTCTCAAGGTTATAATTTCTTTTCCATCTCTATCCCACAATAAGAACTTCCTATCATCTTCAGATATTCCAATTTGTAAGAATGATTTTCTTATATCTGATGTTATCCCATAGGAATACTTCCTGAACTGAATGAGCATCTTTGGAATATTCTATAATAAGTTTGGTCCACTTTCTAAACAAGAATTTAAAGATGTTCCATTACCATCTTTGGAAGACGCATCAATCACGGGTCTCAGTTTCGTAGTTTGGCTCGATTCTTTTATGACTGCTTAATGTGGTAAATAGTGACTTTCTGGCTCTTCACAATTTTCATCTATTTCAATGATGCCTTCTTGAAACCATTGTTCCAGTACTTTATTATATTCTTCGAATTTTCTAATTCTTTTTAATCTTTTTGTTAGCATCACCAGTCTACTTTCCGCATGTTGGCGATTATTGTATAAGATATGATGAGTAACCTTCCATGGTAAACTAACCTCATATCTATCATTTTCATATGTGCGAACAGTTTGTTCAAAAAATTCTAAAATTTCTTCATTCTTCATTTTCGTTGTTTTAGCTTCGGCTGGATCTCGTATTCCAATAGTCTCCAAGCTCCAAAGGTCTTCAATGCTGGGTTGGCAGAATAAGCTCAAAATAGGGTTTGTTTTTTCTTCTCTAGGTTGTTGACCCATTATTGTCCATCCAAGCCGAGTTTCAATAGCCATAATATTTTCATCCAATTTTTCAATTTTACCTGTGAGAATTTGAGGCAATACAGCCGCACCTAATAACACTTCAATTTCTAAAGGATTGTCCCCAACGTCTGATAAGTTAATTGATTTTTGCTGTAGAATGGGATAAATGTTTTGACTCTTTAATCTCGGTACGAAATTGCATATCTTTGTCTGGGCTAACATTGGACATGTAATTTTGAATTGACCATCTAGGGATTTTATATTGACATCATAGACACTGTGTTTTTCCTGACCAGTTTCTATTCCGCCAAACAATGCATGGTTTAAAGTTTCTTCTCCAACTATTGGCAAATTTAGCTTTTTCACCCCCTCTGTTTTTAAATAGGACCCTTGGGAACCGGAATCAATCAAAACTCTTGCGAGTCAATCTGTTTTATCTATGCCCTCAACCTTTACTATCAGTGTTTGCAAAAACGTTTCACCCTTTTGTTGATTAACAAGAGTTTTAGAACTACTGCTATTTTCATCATTTTTTCCTTTAGTATTTGACTTTGTTTGACCTTTGTTTTCACCATTTTTTATGTTCCAACACATTACTGTCAAATGTCTTCTATTACAAATTAAACATTTAACAGAACTTTTGCATTGTTGTGCTGGATGGCCGATTTTCAAACAACGGAAACATGCTCTTTTTTTCTTTTAAAACTGTCTTCTTATCGTTATAATTTAAATTGTGTAACTTGAAACATTCCACTGAGCTATGTGAATCCTTGTCACACCATATACATTTAAACTTTCTGAAATCACTCGTGTTATTCCTTGAATCACCTGAATATATACAAGCGGCAGTTGGTGGAACTACATCAAAACTTCCTTGGCTACCGAATCCACTACGAGCTATTTGCAGGCGTTCCTCACTTTCAACTTCAATTCTGAGAAATTTCAATAATTTTGTAAGATTTTCTGTGCTAGCATTCGTTTCTCCGGATGATCGAGATCTCTCCCACGCCTTCAAAAGATCCTCTGGAAGAGCTGATTCTACTAATGGGTAAAGCATGGCGGCATAAATATCACTTTTAACGCCAACGCGATTCCAGAGCTCGTAACTGTGTTTCTAATTTATCATACAATGTCGCCAATGGCATGTGACCTTTTTTTGTAGCCTGTGCCAACACTAATCTTAACAATTCTCTAATACAGATTTCGACCATAAGGTCATCTCTTGCGAATCTTGATTTTAGTTGAGTAATTGCTTTTTGATAATTTTGGCTTGACGGTGGAAAACTATCTACCAGTTCTTTTGTTGGTGACCCGGGAACCATTGCTTGAACCAAATATTGAAATTTATCATCATCATCGATGGTGTTGTCCTCATGTATTTTACGGAACTGTCCCCAAAATCCGAGCCAATTTCTTATTTCTCCATTAAATTTTTGTAGTTCCAACATTGGAAGCTTGTATTTTCTCTTCATTTCCGCACCATTTTGTGAACTTGGTTCATTGTTCGCCAAACGAAGATTGACAGTTTTTTTTAAGTACACATATCTGTCAATATATTCTTCATGGGCTTCAAAATCTTTTTCATAATCATCATTATTTTCTAGTTTTAATAAATTTTCAGAAATCTGAGTTTGCAAATCGTTTAATCTTTCGAATTTATTCGTCAATTGTGATAATAAAATCTTTACGCGATCCACTTTAACCTCCGTATTCGATAACTCTGCTTCTAAATTATTGGCAGTTAAAGTAAATCCTTGGCGCAATGGCTTTCTTTTATTTTTTAATTCTTCCATTTATGAAGTGAAATATTAATTAAATTCTGATAGTTTCACTTACTTTCGTTTCTTTTGTCCTTTCTTTTTTATGCTTGGCTCTTGAATATCACACGGACGCCACTTAATGTTGCGAAGTCGAACTTTGAATTTTATACTAATATTGAACTACGACTCACAAGAAGAAGATACAGGTTGTTTTAGACAAGAGCACATTTATTTACATGACGAGGACATTTTACATAGGAAGAAACATAGAAAGAATAACTATTTTAGACATCGTTTTTCTTGTTAACTTATCGATTGTTTGTTCTATAATATTTTTATATTTTGTTGCCATTCCATTACAACTAAACTATTTCCCGCTTTCCAATATTACCTATGCGAACCCGCAACATCCTCCCCACCAACAAATAAATTTTAAACTTTTAATTATTTTTTGTTTTGTTTTGTTTTAAGACAACAATTTCTGATTATAAAAATATTTTTAACTCTTAATGTCCTAATGTAAAAATGTTTTATAGTTCACAAGTCCAGTTTATTTGGTATTTTTATCTTTCTTCCATAACGAGTAATATTCTCCCGTATTCCTTCGGAAATAGGGACTGCTGATTTCGGTTTGTAAAAATCTGTTTCTTCAGGCGAAATTTC